CAACTTAGTTACCTACACCCAAACGTCCCATGGAGCAAACAATATGGTACAAACATTAATGATAAAGTTAAAGTGACTTTACCAAGCTGTGGTTGGGAAAAATCAACAGACCATCCCACTCGAAGGAGAGAGACCTCTGTGCAGCCTTCTTTCATCGGGAGATTCTGGGTTACCTGGCCAGGTCAGAAAAAAACCTCTCAGATACTATGGCCAACTCAGAAGAAAAGTTTGTTAAAAAACAACAACAAGAGCTATTTATTTATTTAATCTTCACTCAAAGATACGTTTTTATTGTGTTTGGAGAGAGGGAGGGAGGGAGAGAGAAACATCAGTCACCTCCCACATATACTCTGACCAGGTATGTACCCTGACTAGAACTCAGACCTACAACACTGTGTACAGGATCACGCTCCAATCAACTGAGCAGCAAGGCCAGAGCAAGACAAGATTTTTATGCAAACTGAAAAGGACAACTATCACACCTTGGCGAGAGAATAACAACTGCCAATGAACTTAAACCAAAGCCCTGGGAAGAAACAATTTGATTACTGGATCGTGGGGCCTTTTTCTCCACTAATAAAACACTGGTGGGCAGGAGTCCGGTACATAGGAGTTTAATGAATGAATTAATAAATGAACGGTCTTAACGAGCTGAACATACTACCTTGGCCTCAAAGCAGACTTTCCCCTTTGTCACTCCGTAAGTACTCCTTGCCCCAGACCACAGGGTGGGGAACTTCTCTGAGAAAAGTGGCTGCCCTCCATAGCGGTCTTTGCTCACTTGAAAATGGAGATCAGAGGTATCTGTTAAGAAAGAAGCAATCTGTTAACACGTGAAAGCCACCAACAGCGCACAAGTATACTCAGTTGCCCAGTTGTCAAGAATGGATACAAAATCCATCATGTGCTAAATCTCTTAAAAACTGCAGGCCATGAGATATCAATCTCCAGAGTCACTTCTGATTGGTTAAAACCCCAGCCTGTCTGCCTCATACATACACGTGTCCAGGTTCACAAGAGTGTCATCTTCCTCCTCCTCTTTTGCCTCTTCTTCAGGGGGCGGTGGAGACTTGGAGCTACACACATAAGGGAAGAGCAAACACAATGTAACCAAAGCCCTCCGCTCGGAGGGCGTCTGCAGGGCAAGGTGTCTGTTTTAAACTCTAAGCGAATATAATCCCAGCAGACAGCTTCTTTCAGTAAACGAGAAAAGGGCAACAGGAGTTTGCAGAGTAGATTCGAGCTAAAACTTACGCCTATAAAAACCTATTCCATTTTTAATCCACCCCTTTCCAACTCTCCAATCAACACCAGGTACACCAAAATCAGAGCAGACACTCCCTTCAACGAAAGGGACTGTTTCCCTCACCGGCTGTGGTAAGCCTCCTCTCGGAATTCATAGTAAGCTCGGCCATGTTCATCCTTCTCATCCCGCTGTCTCTTTACCCCCCGCCGCTCACCATCTGAGCCTGCTGGTTTTGACTTTTCACTATCTTGGTCATCTCCTACAAAAAGGAGGGAAAGAAAATCAGCAGTTTTCATATTGGAGTATAGCATAAGCTCAGAACCTACAGAAACTAAAAGGGGGGTTTGAGTATCTGTCTCATCAGAATAGCCAAATGAATCCCATTGCATCCACAGAACGTTGCATTCCCAAAGATCATCTTCCTACAATACATTGGCTGAAATTGTACTTATTTTTTTAAAGTATATTATGGGCTAATTACAGTCAAGCAATAGACATAAATTGGACAATTTGTGCATTCTAAATTTATCTGCTTAAGTCAGGTCAAACTTGCAGCTTTCCCTAACAATATGACATTAAAAAAAAACCAACTTCATTGCTTAATTTAATTTTGATTCTTAATGGTCAGATTCGGATGTAAGCTAGACACAAACCATATTTCCCAACACTTTTCCACAGCTTCACGATAGAGCCTCAATTGAGAAAAACAAGTTTGCCTCTCCAGCTTTAAAATGCACAGCCATCCATGGATTTACTTCTATAGCAAGTGGGGACAGGTGCATGTCACCGAGCTGCATTTTTATCATGGATTTTTCCTGGAAGTTTCGAGAGCTAAACCATTCATTCACAAGAGGCACATCTTTTAATACTGCATCTTTACTGCACGTGATTTGGGGGCAGAAAGGGGCTATCAGATATTTAGCAACATTCTCTGCTAGAGGAAATAAAACCCAGAAGAGTTTTTCCTTAAGCCTCTGTAGTTCTCAATACAAAGGTTTTTAAATAATCATTAAGGCAGTCTCTTATTCTTTAACCTTTTTTATTTTATTTTCCCCCATCACCATATATTCCCTCTGTGCCCTCTTCTACCTCTTCCTCAACCTTTTTTTTATCTGCTATTTGGTACACAATATGTCAAAGGTTATGTAATGGGATTGTTGTTCCAGGACGTAGGCAAACAATCTTCAAGTTGCACGTGATTATTGTAGAATGGGTTCCAATGGACACCATGATACTAAGTAGCAGCCTAAACAATGTATTAAGAACGAAGGCGGCAACCCACTTCACAGAACTCTCGTTTTCCTCCTTATTCTGACACATAGTTACGGGCCAGCTTAACCATCCAATTACTTCAAAGGAAGGCAGGTGACTAACTCCCTGGGGCAACTAAACACGTTCCCTTCCCCAAGGTTACTAGATGGGCCCACCAGCACCTCCGCCGTTTCAATGCAGTTAATGGGGGAACTGAAATCTAAGAGGCTAAGCGTGCACCAAATTTACAGACCTGCCCGCCCACCAACTAAGCGGGAAGATTACATTTTAATCATGATACAGGCAAGGCAAAAGCCCTGGCCAGCTAACTGACTTATTCTAAATGCGCTAGATAAGACTTCTCTTCACTAGTTAACTATTAAACTCGACACCGTCACGCCACAGGCTGTGCCCCGCCGCCGCTAGCAGGAGCAAGGTGAGATCGCCAGATTCCGGGCGGCTCAGGCTCTCCCCCTGGGCGTCTGATGGATCGAACTCGGACGAATTTAGTTACTGCTTCCTATTTCTATGGCGAAAAAGTTAACAGCCAGCCCAGAGGCCAAAGCCTCTCACGGGGTTACTGGCTGGCCCTGGGACTGCCAATGCCCCCGCGCATTCCCGGTTTAGGGAAAGGTAACCGGCCCCGTGGGGGCTGCTCCACAGGTAGCTCCCAAGCCGTTCGCATGCACCACCGCTCACTTCCATCCGCCAACGATCCGAGCCAGACAGGGGCCCCCCTCCTGCAGAGTGGGGCCACCCGAGGCGGCCAAACCTCCCGGAAAGGTGCGGAGAGAATACACGCCACCTCCCCCGGGGGATCCCACCAAATGGCGAAGGGAATCCTGCACTTCGGGCAAGCGAGAACAAGGGATCGGACCCCGGGGTGCGGGACTGGTGCTGGGGACGAGGGCGCACCCGGCAGGCGGGAGTCGGGCTCCGCTGCCGGCACCTCACCCTGTTCCTCTGCGGCCTTGTCAGCCGGCGCCTCGGATCCCGGCGCCTCGTCCCCGCTCCGCTCCTCCGGCTCGTCTTCTTCCCCTTTGCCGGTGCCCTGCTCTTCGCCACCATTGACGCCACCTGACTCGGCCATGGCCTCCTCAGCCGGCTTCTCGGAAGCATCGGGCTCGGGCCCGGGCCCGGGCTCGGGCTCAGGTTCGGGCTGGGCCTCGGGCTCAGGCTCAGGCTCAGGCTCGGCCTCGGCCTCGGCCTCGGCCGCGGCCTCCACGGCTGCCTCCTCCGGGGGCTCCGGCGGCGGCTGCGAGGCCTGGTCCGAGGCCTGGGCGGGAGGTGGCTCTTCGTCCTCGTCCTCAAGCAGCGCCTCCTCGTCCTCCTCCTCCTCTTCGTCCTCCTCGTCGTCCCCGCCCGGGCCGCCGCCCGACGCGGCCACAGGCCGAGGCTCCGCCTTGCAGGCCCCGCCGGGCACGGCCCCGCCACCACCGGCCTCGTCCTCGAGCATCTCGGCGTCCAGCGCCTCCTGCAGCCGCTGCGCCAGATCCACCTTGAGGCCGCGCGAGTCCAGGCCCCGCCGCTGCAGCTCCGACCGCAGCTCGGTCACTTTCAGCCGCTTCACCTCCATTGCCGCCGCCGCCTCCTCCGCCTCCCGCTGCCTCCTCCCCTGCGAACCGACGACCGAGCACGACCGCGCAGGCGCCGCCGCCGCCCGCCTCCGCTTCACGCGCCAGCACTGAGCCCGCGCGGGCGAGCGCACGCACGGACGCACGCAGGCGGCGAGGGCCGCGCGCAGCCTCTACGGCGGTTCTCCTCTCGGCTCCCCTCCCCTCCGCGGCCCCGGGAGCCCAAAACAACGCAGCGGGGAAATGTCTCCCTTCCTGCAGCCGCTTCCCTCTGTTCCCAGCCGCGGGCGGGCGGGCGGGCGGGCGGGCGCGCGCCGAGGACGACGGACTTCCCTCCCTTCGCCTCCCGCCCCCTCTCGCGGGCCGGCCAATCGCCGCCGGCGTTTCACTGCGCAGCCGCGCCGGCGCTGGAGACGCGAGAGACTGGCTGCCGCTCAAGTGCCTCGTTGCATGGAGGCGAGTGCGCGCCCTTTCCGTACTTCCAGCCGGGAACAGCGCTGCCACCCGGACTTCCCCTCCCGCACGCCCCTCCCACCCCGCCACCACCGTCACTCGGTCTGACTTCCGATCACGCTTTCTTCTTGGGCTTGCTCACTAGTCTCTTTTTCTATCTAAGCGTGCAGCAGCTTCTTAGGAGTTAAAAGAAAAAAAGAAGAAGAAGAAGAAGAGAAGTTGTTGCAACGTGAAAGCCTCCTAGGAATCGTCTTTCTGGCCAGTAAACCAAAGGGCTCTCCAAAAACCAAGAGATACAGTGACCTCTTGCTCCGCCCCAACCCTCAATTTCTCCCTAGCAACAGATGACCGAGCCACGCCCTGTAGCTAGTCTATTGGCCAACTTGAATAGTCACCTGCAATTTTGATTGGTCACCCGTGATAGTCCGAATTTTTCCAATTGGCGGAGCTGCCATTGGCTCCCCCCCCTTTGGTCCGCAGAGGGAGCCGGAGAGGCCGCGTCGTTTCTGCGGGATTACTTTTCTGGGGCCGCCCCTCATTGGGCGGCGTGGTGCGCTGTAGACAACAAACTGTCAGGGGACCGGACCCTGTCCTCTGGGTGCTCCCACCCGCAATCGGAAACCCAGGGGCCGACTTCCGGGCCAGTCCCCCCCACCCCCCCCGCAGAGGGCAGGGGGCTGGCCGCGGGGCTCGGAGGACTCGCAGCTGCTGCTCGGCCGCGGGGTCCGTCGCGGCCTTCGGGCCGTGTGGCACGGGCCACTGTCGCCTGGGTTTCCCAGCTCCGGGCACAGACACCCACGAGTGCTTCTTGAATATACGTGCGAATCGGGAGTCGTGACGGAGGCAAGTCCTTTAAACTGCTCTCAGCAATGGCCCCCGCCTCCTTCCTTCCACTTCCAGGTCGGGGAGGTGTGTCCCAGGGAAAGGAGGAAGCATGTTCCGCAGCTGCCCCAGCTCTTAGTGAGCCCTTTGCGTTTCCGGGGTCCCCTCGCTCCAGGAAAGTCACAGTCTCTGGCTTTCCTCTCCCCACACCCGCTCACGGGCTAGTTTCCTGCGCCGCCTGCGATCGGAAATGCTTCGGGAGGAAGGGAGGGGCCGTGGTAGAAGCCGGCGGAGCTCGCTCCCTGCAGGCCCCCGGGAGAAGGGCAGCTTCCTGTCATAAGTCGGCCACCAGGCCCGTACCGTTGCTCCTCCCGCACAGCTTCAGCGGCCCTTCCCCTCCCCAGCCCTGCAGGACCGCTGGGCGGCGGAGCTATGGACAAGCGCCTGCGGGAGGCTCAGCTGTACAAGGAGGAAGGGAACCTGCGCTACCGGGAAGGGAAGTACCGAGATGCTGTGAGTAGGTACCATCGGGCTCTGCTTCAGCTGCGGGGTCTGGATCCCAGCCTGCCCTCCCCGATACCCGACCTGGGGCACGAGGGCCCGGCCCTCACGCCTGCACAGGAAAGCATGCTGCACGCCACCCAGACAGACTGCTACAACAACCTGGCGGGTAAGGACAGGGCCCAAGGGTGGGCAGGGTAACCAGGCAGGCACACAAAAATCTGTGAACGTGGAGAAAAACACTGACGGACTTCCCTGCTGTCATCCAGTTATTCCGCCAAGAATGGAAATATAGGTCCCCTGCCCGGATGGCTCAGTTGGTTAGGGCATGTTCCTGATGAGCCAAGGTGGCAGGTTCGATGCCAGGTCAGAGCACATACAAGAAGAAACCAATACAACCAATAATGCATAAATAAGTGGACAACAAATCCATCCCCCCTCCTCCTATCCACCATCCTCTTGCTTTCTAAAATAAATAAAAGTGCCAAAACCGGGTTTGGCTCAGTGGATAGAGACCTTCGGACTGAAGGGTCCCAGGTTGGATTCCGGTCAAGGGCATGTACCTTGGTTGCAGGCACATCCCTAATAGGGGGTGTGCAGGAGCAGCTGATCAATGTTTCTAACTTTCTCTCCCTCTCCCTTCCTCTCTGTAAAAAAACAATAAAATTATATTTTAAAAATAAATTTAAAAAAATAAAGTTTAAAATCTTTTATAAAATAAATACATATATATTTAAATATATTTTATTGATTTTTTACAGAGAGGAAGAGAGAGGGATAGAGAGTTAGAAACATCGAAGAGAGAGAATCATTGATCAGCTGCCTCTTGCACACCCTCTACTGGGGATGTGCCCCTAACTAAGGTACACGCCCTTGACCAGAATTGAACTTGGGACCTTTCAGTCTGCAGGCCGACGCTCTATCCACTGAGCCAAACCGGTTTCGGCTATACATATATTTTTTCCCAATTTATAGGGCTCTAATTGAGTTTCTCCAGAGCAGTAGTTCTCAAACATCACCTGGAGGGTTTGTTAAACACAACTCCCGGGTCCCACCCCCAGAGATTCGGATTTAATGGGTCCCAGGGGGTGCCTACTATTTGTTTGCATTTTCTAGCGGAGTCTCTGGTGATGCTGATAGATTTAGGAAATTTTGCACACAATGGAGAAAATATCGAGTTTACATAGAAGGGAAGGCATTTTAAAAAAACATGTTCTGCCGAAACTGGTTTGGCTCAGTGGATAGAGTGTCGGTCTGCGGACTGAAAGGTCCCAGGTTTGATTCCGGTCAAGGGCATGTACAATACATTGGTTGCGGGCACATCCCCAGTGGGGGGTGTGCAAGAGGCAGCTGGTCGATATTTCTCTCTCATCGGTGTTTCTAGCTCTCTATCCCTCTCCCTTCCTCTCTGTAAAAATCAATAAAATATATTTTTTAAAAATAAAATAAAAATAAAAAACCATGTTCTTATTGTTTTCTGAGAGAGGAAGAGAGATGGAACCACCAATGCTGAGAGAGAATTATATATCTCTCCTCTGGGGATCGAGTGGGAAACCCAGGAATGTGCCCTGACTAGGAATTGAACAATAACCTGGTTGCATGTACTTTAGTTGCCGGCACATCCCCAGTGGGGGTTGTGCAAGAGGCAGCTGATCGATGATCCTCTCTCATCGATGTTTCTGACTCTCTATTCCTCTCTCTTCCTCTCTGTAAAAAATCAATAAAAATATATTAAAAAATAAACATGTATTCAAGTAAGGGAGACGAACATGAAAACAAAAATAACATACATAATTTTTAGAAAATGTTAAGTACTGTGGAAAATAAATAAAGCAGAAAAGGGGGAGTGAGTGCCACAGGCATGCGAGTGCTCACTTTTAAAGGGGGGGGGCAGCGGGGAGAAGAATTCATTGAGGTGACATTTACGAAATACCCAGGGCAGACAGGGTTTAAGCCCTTTACACATATGAACCTAGTTAAGAGTCACTTGCCCTTGGAGGTAAATTTAAGGAACAAACAGCTAGTAACTGGTAGAGCTAAAATTAAACCTAGGCAATTCTTTTTTTATTATTATTGATTTCAGAGAGGAAGGAAGAGGGTTCGAAAGAGAGAAACATCAATGATGACAGAGAATCATCGATTGGATGCCAACTGGGGACCAAGCCCACAACCTGGGCATGCGCCCTTGACCGGAATTGAACCTGGGACCCTGCAGTCCACAGGCCGATGCTCCATCCACCAAGCCAAGCCAGCCAGGGATCTTTTATTATTTTTTTTTAATATATACTTTTATTGATTTCAGAGAGGAAGGGAGAGGGAGAGAGGAGGAAGACAGAAACATCAATGATGAGCCCTGGCCGGTTTGGCTCAGTGGGTAGAGCTTTGGCCTGGAGAAAAAGGGTCCCCAGGTTCCATTCCAACCAAGGGCACATGCCTGGGATCCAGGTCCAACCCTCCCCAGTAAGGGGTGTGCAGGAGGCAGCCAGTCGATGATTCTCTCTCCTCTCTGAAATCAATGAAAAATAGAAAAAGTAAAAAATGATGACTCATTCCGGGAGTTGAGTATGACCACACGGTGGGGGTGTTGGAGAAGGAATGCAAACATCGGGTTTAATGTTCTCATCGGCCCTGATTCTTGGTTCTCAGCACTATGATGTAATACTATGTTTAATTCCCACAATCCTTTGAGGTAAATTCAAGGAATTTAATAGGGAAATATTTATGAAATAGAGGAACATTTCAAATTTTTTTTATCTGTCCCAGTGTTTTCTGGGAATTTTTTTTTATTTTAATATATTGATTTTGTACAGAGAGGGATAGAGAGTTAGAAACATCGATGAGAGAGAGTCATCAATCAGCTGCCTCTTGCACACCCCCTAATGGGGATATGCCTGCAACCAAGGTACATGCCCTTGACCGGAATTGAACCCGGGACCCTTCAGTCCCCATGCTGACACTCTATCCATTGAGCCAAACTGGTCTCGGCTCAAATTTTTAAAAAAATACGTTATTTGTTTTTTGTTTATTTATTTTGTTGCTGTTAATTCTCAACCAAAGACATTTCTCCATTGATTTTTTAGAAAGACTGAAAGTGAGGGGAAGAGACAGAGAGCCAGCCCTTGGTAATCGAACCTGGGACTTTTCAGTCGAGGGCTGAGATTCCTCTCAACTGAGTCAAACTGGGTAGGGGGTAGGGGTGTTTTTATTGATATATATATTTTTTTTTTAATTTTTTTTTTTTTTTGAGAGAGAGAGAGAGAGAGAGGGAGGAGGGAGGAAGGGAAAGGGAGAGAAGATATAAATATGGATCAGCTGCCTCCTGCACACCCTCTACTGGGGGGATCAAGCCCGAAACCCAGACCTCTTGGTGCATGGGACAACGCTCAGTCCACTGAGCCACAGTGGCTGGGGAAATTTCCCTTCTTAATAAAAAGGCAGAAGACTGACCTGATCAATTGCCTCCTTGACAGATATGAATTTTGAAGTGCCATTAAATCATCCAAGGGACTAGGAAAGTAGTATCATTGAGAGAGATGACGGTTTTGGAGTGAGAGTCCTTGGTACCTGTTTCTTACTCATCCCACCTAGAAGCTGTGACATCTTGGACAAGTTACTTAGCCTCTCTGTGCCTTGAAGCAGTAACACATACCGATTTCTTAGAGTGGGTGAGAGTCAACAAGCACCTAGCAGTGCTTTCTGTTGCCTCGTACAAGAATTGTGGTGAAATGGAGACTCCAGACAGAGAGCCTTGGGTGGAAGAGACACAAAGAAGCAGCTTAAATACATTTTAAAGTATAGTCTTATCCGTTTTATAGCTGGGCCTAGCTCAACATTAGGTACGAAGCGGCATTCGGTAGGCGTTGGAGTAGATGGAAGAGACGTAAAGCGTTATCCGCTGCTGCGTCCCCTGCCTGGAAGGCCTGGCCCGTGGCAGACACGCTTATTTGCTGGAAAAGTGAATGCTGTTCCCATTGTGTTTGGTGCTGCCTTGAGTCGACCAAAGGAAGTTATAACCAGGCCCTTCTCGCTCTCCTCTCTTCCTCTCGTTAGCCTGTCTCCTTCAGATGGAGCCAGTAAACTATGAACGGGTGAAAGAATACAGTCAGAAGGTCCTGGAGCGACAGCCTGACAATGCCAAGGCCCTGTACCGGGCCGGTGTAGCCTCCTTCCACCTGCAGGACTATGGCCAAGCTCGGCACTACCTGCTGGCCGCCGCCAACAGGCAGCCCAAAGGTGAGACAGAGGGGATGGAGGGGGGAGAACAAAGACAATTGTCCTGTTAAGGGGGTAACTGTGGCAGGGGTTTTTGTTGTATTTGCTTGTTTTTAATATATTTTTATTGATTTTTAGAGAGGAAGGGGGAGAGAGAGAGACAGAAACATCAATGATGAGAGAGAATCATGGATCGGCTGCCTCCTGCACGCCCTCAGCTGGACATAGAGCCCGCAGCCCGGGCATGTGCCCTTGGCCACAGTCAAGCCTGGGACCCTCCAGTTTGTAGGCTGACGCTCCATCCACTGAGCCACACTGGCTAGGGCATGTTTTATTTCATTTTTTCAAAATTTTGAATAGGTAATAATATATTCACATGGTTCAAAATTCAAAAGCTATGAAAGTATACCATGAACAGACCTTCTACTCTTATATTCTTGTCTCCACAGAAAAGCAATATTGTGTGTATATCCTCCAGAAATCTCTATGCTTAAATGGCACATACATAGAATTTCTCCCTCTCCCCCGGTAGAAGGGATTTTAAGGCATTGTTTTTTGCCCTGGCCAGTTTGCTCAGTGGATAGAGTGTTGGCAGGTTTGATTCCTGGTCAAGGTCACATACCTCAGTTGCAGGTTTGATCCCTTATATAAAATATAAGCTATTCGTTCATGTTTCTTACCTTCAAGTATATAGATTAACTGCCACCCCAGTATAGTATCTTTAGTGGCTCTGCTATGACAATAACTATTTCTTCAACCTCCCTGTCATTATAAAATTGGCAACCAGCCAGGATGTGTATGAGATTGTTTTTTAACCCAAAGTGATATTAAAGAGATTTACTATTACATGGAATAGTAATATTTTCAGATCTTAGAATGATTTTTAAAACTGAAAGTATGTCCCCCCTAACTGATTTGGCTCAGTGGATAAAGCATCGACCTGTGGACTGAAGGGTCCCAGGTTCGATTCCAGGCAAGAGTATGTACCTTGGTTGCGGTCACGTCCCCAGTAGGAGGTGTGCAGGAGGCAGCTGATCGATGTTTCTAACTCTCTTTCTCTCATCGATGTTTCTAACTCTCTCTCTCTCTTCCTCTCTGCAAAAAAAATCAATAAAATATATTTTCAAAAATTAAAAAAAGAGGAAGTATGTTAATAAATCTCCCCTTACCCGGAGGTGAGATTATGGTGTATCTCTAATTGCCTTCTCACCCCCTTGTAAGATGCCAATGTCCGGCGGTACCTCCAGCTGACACAGTCGGAGCTCAGCAGCTACCATCAGAAAGAGAAGCAGCTCTACGTGGGCATGTTTGGTTAACAGAGAAGAATGTCGCTTCTCCACTTGAACTTTGGTGAATGGTGAATCAGTGAAGTCTCATCCAGTGACATCTGACCTCGCAGGAGACAGGAGCCCCACACCTCTGACCCAGGTGTCTTTCTTGTTTCTAGTTCTGCACAAACTCTTAACTACTTACACAGCCTGCCTTTTGTGTATGTGTGTGTGTGTGTGTGTGTCTGTCTGTCCATCTATATATTTGTATAGCTTTTAATACATGGCATTTTTATGGACATTGGCCCTGAGAATTACAACCAGAATATATTCATCACCTGTGTGTGGAATTAATCATATCGACAGCATAGATTCTAATGATGGATGTTGTTGGGTGTATTCATACACAGAGGAGAAGTTTAGCAGAGGATGAGGTAATGACAGACAGAAAGGAGTTTCTTCCTTTGTTTTCTCAGATGCCCAAAGCCAAAGTTAGGCCAGAAACTGAGCAGTGTATTTCTTTTGTGAAACTAGACAATTATAAATTGGGCCCACATGTCTTAAAATGAATGGTTTCAAAGAAAGTGAATTCCTTATTTTTAATATTCCACATCTATTCAGATTCTTCTTCCTCTTCAAAAATATCTGGCTCCTATTGCGGATAACGCTTTACATCTCTTCCATCTACTCCAACGCCTACCGAATGCCGCTTCTGGTCATTTGTATTGTTTATATTCAGATCATTAGAGTAGACTTACTTAATTTTTCATTAAACTCTTCTATTTTAAGATCTCTGTAGTCATGCACTTAAGTATTTATTTAATAATCCTTCTTACTCTCATGCTACAAAAACACCCAAGTAAACAGTTTTGTTTTTAGTAAGTGTGTTGCTATAGCCTGCCAGTTTCTCTGAAACACTTAGGAAAGGCAGATTACTAAGTCTGGAAACAGTGCCATGAAGGAGCAGGATACAACATAAATCTGTCCTTTACCTGTTACCTTGTATTCCGCCTCAGCCCTCTTCCCCTACCGAGGAGGGAGACAGTGGGAAAGGTTCTCCTTCCTTAGTGCCTTTACGAACTTTCTAGAAGCTGGGTGGGCGCCAGTGCAGGCTGCAGATCTGCTGCAGCCACTGCTCAGGAGGAGGCTCCATCAGCCAGGAGCTCCTCTGTCCGTCCATCACTTTTGTGAAGAATGCCCATAATGAAGGAGGTATACAGAGCAGAGGAGACCGCCTCGCACTGCCTCTGCCTTTGTGAGTGGAGCTGGTCGTAAGCATGTGCCATGAGCCATCACACAGCCACCCACGGCAAAAGGAACACCGTAGTCTGGCCAAACGCACTAAGTTCTTCTCCCTTCATCAGTAACTCCCCATCTCCCCATAAAATAGGCTCTTCTTGTTCTCCCTCTTCCCCTCAGTAATGCAGGCGTCAGGGGTGGGGAATTGGTAAGATATGTACACATATAATGCTTAATAAAGAAATGAAAGAAAAAAAAGTTTAAAAATAATGCAGGCATCAACTTACAACACAGCCTTCTACCAAATCTTAATGAATCCAAGGATAGAACTAACAAAAGTAAAATATTTTATTCCTTTCCCAAGCCCCTTACATCGCTAAATCTAGATAGTTGACAACATTTTTGTCCTGGTTGCATGTTTTGTTTGTTCTGGGCAGTTTTTGCTTCCTGATTTCATTTTGTTTGTGGTTTTTTCTCTCTCATCAGTTTTTTCAATGTCACCGTGAGCTATCTTCTGTACCCATGAGGAAAAAATAAAACATATTTAAAAATGAACTTTAGAAAGCTATTGTACTCATCTTTTCATGAAGGCTGCTGAGACAAAGCGGTCAGGCTCCCATTTCAGTCTTCATTTCCAGGCCAGCTGCTAGCGGAGGTGTTGGTGAACAGGAAGAGGGACAGGGCAGGCAGTCTGGTTGGGTCTGGAGGTCCGGGAAGCCCACGCCCGCAGGAGCCATCCAGAGGGCTCCACAGACAGCTTTCCATGGGATTCCAGGGCCTGACTGCAGAAAAAGCATTCACGGAGGCTGTGACGGCTTACACTTTGGCACAAAGGAGACGGTTTTGAATAGTGCTTTCCAAACTCATACCACCCCCTTTACAATTTTGCCAAAACTACATACTATCTACAATAGATTACTATTTATGTATGTTATTTAAATATGTGTTTTTAAGAGAACCTTTGGACAGAGGGACATGTTAGATATTATTATTGGGATGTAAATAGCAAACTCCAAACGGAAACCATAAGACAAGTAACTCGATTTCCTCAATAGTAAATTGCAATGAAAAGAGAGGGGAAGTTGTAGAGTCTTAAGAGAAGTCAGTCAGCCAAATAAATGTGACTCTGCTTTGGATTCTGACCTGAAAAAAAAAAACCTCTAAAAGTTTATGAAAGTAACAGAACAGATATATATATATATTGGTTTCTCCCTGCGAAGTGAAAGCAAATGCTTGCTCTTCAGGGAATGTCACCAAGAAACAGCCCCTCCGTGCCAGGTGTGAGGGTGGCTGAGGCGGTAGCCACCGTCTAAAACCGTGGTCGGCAAACTGCGGCTCAAGAGTCACATGAGGCTCTTTGGCCCCTTGAGTGTGGCTCTTCCACAAAATACCACAGCCTGGGCGAGTCTATTTTGAAGAAGTGGTGTTAGAAGAAGTTTAAAAAAATGTGGCTCTCCAGAGAAATTTCAATCGTTGTCCTGTTGATAGTTGGCTCTGTTGACTAATGAGTTTGCCGACCACTGGTCTAAAGGAATGATATTCAATTATGTTCACACGTGCACACATTTATTATATCTTGCTTTTAGGAACCCGTGTTCTAAGGAAGCCTATTTCTTTTTATATATTTCACCTACCGTAAAATTCACCCTTTTGAAGCAACTGATTGCTTTTAGGCATTTTCACTTCCTCTAGCAATGGCTGGGAACGGTCCCCTCAGCCAGAACGGCTCTTACCATGCCCATGGGTGGACCCTGCCCTGTTTCACCAAGGCGTTCAGGCAGTCCTGTATTCGCATGGATAAAGTTAGCCTTTTGAAAGAGGAACTGAAGGGTTATTCCAACACAAGGAAAGTGTAAGGTGAGAATTCAGGCTTTTCGGCCATGAATGTGATAAGCATCAATTTTTGTTTCCCATAATGTCCCCGATAGGCGCTTTCTGTGGCCAAATCTTCCATGCTTAGCTCTGCCTCCTTCCCCAAACTCAAAAATAGTAGTTGAGCCGAAACCGGTTTGGCTCAGTGGTAGAGCGTCGGTCTGCGGACTGAAAGGTCCCAGGTTCGATTCCGGTCAAGGGCATGTACGTTGGTTTCGGGCACATCCCCAGTGGGGGGTGTGCAAGAGGCAGCTGGTTGATGTTTCTCTCTCATCGACGTTTCTAGCTCTCTCTCTCCCTTCCTCTCTGTAAAAAATTCAATAAAATATATTTTTTTAAAAATAGTTGATGATGACAGTCAAATCCCCAAAAGATTAAAGAAATTCAGAAAATGTGCTCATAGTTTCGCCTTCTAAGTCCTCCTTCCTGCTTTCCTTGCACCGGGTTCCTCCTATGCCAGAGGGGAGGGTTTCTAGGGAGCTTCCAGTCAGTCCTACAGCACAACAGGGGCAGGCCCTTCTCTTACCCTTCAAGAACTTTCCCCCATCCTACATCAACTCCCAAAACTCCCATTTCTCTGCTATCGCTGTCAGCCATCTGTATGACCGCACAGGAGTAATTTCACCTCCAGGCTGTCAGCACACTTTTTAAGTAGGATTCTCTCATCTGGAGTTTCCCAAGCACCCATCATTTCCACACCGAATACCTCAACTTCCCCCCACGAACCTATCCCACAGGGCTCGGTGCCGTCTGCCTCTCCATTTCTTATTTTCATGCTTCTGACACGTAAGCAAAAATGCCAGGTCATCAACACAATATATGTTGTTGAAACAGCCAAGTAAAGGTCTTTCTGCGCGGAAAACAGGTGAAAGGGTAAGGACGCAAAGCCCTACAGTCAAAAGGGGAGAATAGAAAACAACTCATAGTTCTCAGGAAACTATTTTCAACAGATTTTAAACAGGCACTGTGAGCCTGGTGTGTTTAGTCACACGCCATGGTTCAGATTCCAGCTTGCCCCTTACCTTGAACAAGTCAACTTTAATTTTTTGAGTTTCAAGTTCCCTAGTCGGTGGGCAAAAAGGGGAGGGCTAATACCTCAGAGAGCTGTTGAGGACTAAATGAGCACTTACGGGGAGTCCCTAACGGCCCAGCACACAGGAGCTCACTGCAGTGACGAGCCAGGACTGTGAGACTCCCTCCTTCATGGACTTTTCCTAAGCAGAGTCTGCGTTACCCCGTGCCTACGCCACTTCTTCCCCGCAAAGCAACATGATCCTCCCCGCCGCCCCCAGGACAGATGCCATTTTCTTAAAGGAGCTAGAGGAGGGGGATGAAAGCGGGTTTGTGGAAGAAACCAGCCAACACCAGTTCAGTAAGATATTTTCACCGCTCGCTTTATGGTCCAGAACTCGGAGCGCGAAGTGGTTACACCAGGAAAATTCCCGCTGCCCTTGGAGAGGAACCGACTGGGGAGAGCAAAGGGAGGGAGGGACGTCAGTCTGGGCAGCATCCATTCCGTCACCCAGCGGGGAAATGAGATGCTGCCAGCCTCCTGTGTCGCAAGAGCAGCCCGAGCATCAGCTCCTGCTCCCCCAGATGTCAGTTTTTGGGGTCAAGTACAAAATCTTTGGGGGGCCCTCCAGCAGAGCTCTGTCTGTCTGCGGTGGGGGAGCCCGGGAGGGGCTGCCCTCCCAGGAGGGGGCCGGCCTCCGGGTCCGGCTTGCTGCGCTTGGCCAGGTCCTCGTTGTGCGCCTTGCGGATGTGGCGGTACAGGTCCCCGGACTGCGTGTAGCTGCGCAGGCAGTAGCGGCACTCGTAGGGCCGCTCCCGCGTGTGCACGGTGGCGTGGCGCCGGAGCGTGTAGGAGCAGGAGAAGGTCTTCCCACACGTCTTGCAAGTGGGAACGTCCTCAGTAAAAACACCGAAGCTTCCCGAGGCCGCTTCGTACTCAGGAGGCAGGTAAAGTGGCTCATGCAGGGTGGGGGGTGCCGGCAGGGGCGAGGTCACCAGCCCTCGGTGATACTGCCCTGGGCCTGGCAGCAAATGGTAGGGGAGGTGCGAATCCGAGGGCAGGAACTGGTCACTCGGCCCCACCTCCTCCAATCCCGCTGCCCTGGGCTCCTCAAAAGCGTCCGGCTGGGGAGGCTGAGCTCCATACAGCGCCTCTCCTGGTGGGAATAACCCCTCGGGCCCCGGAGGCTGGTTCTCGGACAAGTCAGGCTCCTCATCAGAAATCACAATGGCTTCCACTTTCACCTGGACCAGCTCAGCTTCCGCCGGGGGTGGGGCCTGGGATGGAGCTGGGGCTGCAGCCGAAGACGGGCTGTAGAAGCCGTGCAGTGGTCCTCCGGTTCCCCTCGGTACCACCCCCCGCAGACCCTCAGAGCCCACGTCGAGGGGAGCCAGTGGCTCCACTGGGACGGGGGGCAGGCCAGAAGAGTAGAAGTTTGCAGGAATGGCCTCTGTGGAGCTGCTCGGGCTGGCGAGGGAGACGTCGGCCACGGGTGGATGGGGGGCCCGTAGATGCAGGGAGTCCACCTCCACGCCAGGCTGTGTGGTGTCGGCCCCGCCGGGCATCGGCGGCTCATCTGGAGGACAGACAGTAGGTGAGGGGGCAGCAGGGCCTTTCCAGTCCCCTTTGCCCCAGTGGCCCGGCAGCTCGGCCGATGCCAAGGAGGGCTGAGGGCCGCGGGAAGCACTGGACAAGAATTCCAAACTCAGGGGCTGGGAGCTGGTTTCCTCCTCCTTCTTGGTGCTGTCTGCCTCCGCCAGGCCCCGGGCTTGCAGACGCCGCTTACACACCTTGACGATGTCGTTCATGTGCAAGTAACTGGCAGCCGCCAGCACGTCCTCCACAGGGGTGTCCCCCCTCAGCACCAGCTGGCCGGCGTACATGAAGTCCAGAAGCAGCCCGAAGGCCGGGGCTGTGACAATCTCGTTGTGGATGCACACCAGGTCCCTCTTGTCCAGTTCCCGCTCTTTGTAGAAAAGCTGGAAGAACGGGCTGCAGGAGGCGAGCACAGCCCGATGGGCCAGGAACTGAGTACTACCCACCATCACGGTGCAGTCGCAAAGAAAACCCTGGGACCGCTGCTCTCGGAGGCTCTGCAGCAGCTGCTGGCTGTGTTCTGGAAACTCCATAGCACCCCACGAGGGGTAGGCCCCTAAAAAGGTCCCCACCAGTGGTTCCCTGGGAAGAGAGGACAGTGGGTTAAGGGCTGGTAGCCTCCCCAGAAACCGTAAATGTCAGCCCTGAGCTGCCACCAGCATGCCTCTGGCAACACTGTCCAGACCCCAAAAAACGCTCCCTTAAATTACCATCCTTTCCTCTTAGGTCACAACCAGTGGCTTTTAGCCCCGCCCCCTCAACTTAACCTTAGCAGCAGGCCACACCCAGCCAGCAAACCCCGCCCCCGGAAGTCCCTCCCCTGACCAGCCCCCGCTTCCTCTATGGCCACCCGGAGGTTTCCAGCACCTCCTCCAACTAGAAGTCTCTCTCGCCCCCAGGCTTTCCCGGCGATACCTCCACGCCCCACTCCTGGAACTCCCTGAGCCTCTCTCGCATTCCAGAGGCTAAGGAGTCCTAGGGTGCGAACTAGCAGAAGAAGCTGGTCCCTCACCCTCCACCGAGCAGCCACTGGGCGAACTCCGCCCCTTCCCACCTCCTCCGATGCAACGGGCTCAACTTTGCCGTCCCTTGTCACGGATTGGTTCGCTGTCCACTAAGCACCGCCCTCTCTGAGCGGCGTTTCCAAGTGGGTGCCGGTGGCCGTCGCTCAGGTAGCTAGGCGTCGGATTGGCTGGCGTGGCTGTCCTAAACTTTTCTCCCTGGTCCCGCCTTCTTTGCCTCAGAGCCCTCAGGATTGGCTGAGCTTCTCCATCTACCTGTAGCGGGGACCCCGCTCTAGGTTGCCGCGCGTCCACCTGGCGGCGGGGTGGGGAGGCCTCCACCGCGTGGAGTGGAGTGTTGCGTCAGCTGCAGGCTGACCGGAGGAGGAGGACGAACAAGCTGGTGTGGGACTCGGGAAGCCCGGGTTTTATTTTTATTTTTTAAAATATATTTTATTGATTTTTTTACAGTGAGAAAGGGAGAGGGATAGAGAGAAGCATCCATCAGCTGCCCCCTGCACACACACCCCCCCCCACTGGGGATGTGTCCACAACCAAGGTACATGCCCTTGTCTGGAATCGAACCTGGGACCCTTCAGTCCGCAGGTCGACGCTCTATCTATCCACTGAGCCAAACCGGTCAGGGCCATGGCTGCTTTTGAAGAAGTCTTGGAGAAGTCCCTAGACAAAGGAAAGGGCTGTGACACCTGCCTCTTTCCTGACCAGAGCAACATGTTGACGGGGTTCCCAGAGGGTTAATCCAGTGCCTGTAACCCACTGCTCCCCCTTTACCCACACTAGCCTCTCCATTGGTTCTACAGCCATGCCCTCCAACCAAAGCTAATCAGAACCAGGGTCAGTTCATCTACCCTCCATCCTGGTTTTGGAGACCTGCAGGTGCCATGGCCTCAACTAGAGACCCCACCTCTTCAAGATACCCTTCCAAGCCATACAGTGTTTATTGTATAGCGGTTAAAACCAGCGTAATACTGTGTGTGTGTGTGTGTGTGTGTGTGTGTATGTGTGAAAAAGTACTACAGTGGTGCCTCGCATAAAGAATGCCTCGCACAGCGAACGCTGCACACAACAAACTTCACAGCAACAGGACAATGCTCAAAGGGAAGCGTCATCTGATAACGAGGAGCAACAATCAAACAATCAACCAATCCCAACTGCTGACATCAAGAACATCCTGGTCAAATGGAAAGCAGTTCAGGAGTTTACCAATGCCCACTATCTGGATTCAGCTGAAGCAAACAGGATCTTTACTCCGATACTCTTGTCCGTTATTTCCGCAGATGTTGGAGAAAAGAGAAAAACAAACGACTTTGGACAGGTTTTTCATGAAACCATCGGCCAAAAAGCAGAAAATGGATGAAGATGTGCAAGATTCGGTAGACTCTACTTAGTCTGTCTTAAAATTAAAAAAATGTGTTTTTTTTTTAAATTATGTTTTTAGATGTATCTAAATAAAAATAATAACAAAAAATTTATCTTTTTTTATGTCATCTTAGCATATTTTATGCTACAGAACGAATTATTTTTTTAACATGTATTGTTATGGGAAAACACGTTTCACATAACGAACTTTTCGCATAACAAACTTGCTCCTGGAACGAATTAAGTTCGTTGTGTGAGGCACCACTGTATATTTTCCCCAAACCAAAAACGTAGTGAGAATAGTGGCATTGCTTTACATTTTTCCAAATTTCCTTAATGTCTGGCTTAATATAAGACAGCTGGATTCGCACATCTGCTCCAAGCCATTACGGAATGTTGTTTTGATTATATGAAGAAAATCTGGCGTCACACAGATGGGAGGCCTGGGATTTCATTGGCCACAGTGAGAAGTTTGTATTGTATTCTGCGTGTAATGGGAACCCATTAGTGGGTTTTAAGCAGGGAAGTATTTTTATGTGATTCTTGTTTTTAAAGGCTTACCCTGGCTACTCTGTGGTAAATGACCATAGAGGATAAAAGTGGTAGCGGAGCTAGAGCAAAGTACAAGGTCAACAGACTTTGCCAAAATTAAGATAGGAGATGAGGGCCCTGGTGGAGTAGCTCAGTTGGTGGGAGCATTGTCCCAATGTGCCAAGGTTGCAGTTTGATCTCCTGTTGGGCTCATACAAGAACCAACCAGTGAATGCATCAATAAATGCAACAACAAATCAGTGTTTCTGTGTCTCTCACACACAATCTCTAAAGTAAAAAAAAAAAAAAAATTTAGATAAGAGATGAGGGACAAGAGAGAAAAGGAAGTCAGGGATGGCCAGAATTGTAGCATGCGCAGTGGTGTGGCTGACGGAGCCATCTTCTGAGATGGGGACAATGGGAGTGGAATTGAGAGTTCTGTCTTTGACCCATATGTGGAGCCAGTTCCACTTGTAAACACACCCAGGGCTAAGTGCTGACTTCTTTAACAATATCCTCGGGTCTCTTTTGGCTGCAGCACTGCTCAGTGGAATCCATGTTGTTAACCAATAATCAGCTGTTTCACACCCAGTGTGTAAGCCAGAGGCTATGCTCACGGGGGTCTGTCCATTCTTGGAGACACTGCTTCAAACTCACCAACACCAGCAGCAGCAATCAGGACAGCACAGTCAGCTTGAGAAGTGCCTGTAATCATGTTTTTTCTTTAAGTATATTTTACTGCCGAAATTGGTACAGGTTGGGCTCAGTGGATAGAGCACCGGCCTGCGGACTGAAAGGTCCCAGGTTCGATTCCGGTCAAAGGCATGTACTTTGGTTGCATGCACATCCCCAGTAGGGGTGGTGCAAGAGGCAGCTGATTGATGATTCTCTCATTAATGTTTCTAACTCTACCCTCTCTCTTCCTCTCTGTAAAAAATCAATTTTATATATATATATTTAAATCAATCTTTATTGTTCGTATTATTACAAAAGTTCCTCATTTCCCCCCCCTCCATCAGGTTCCCACCCCACCCTCTGCCCTTTCCCCACCCCCCATTGTCCTCATCCATAGATGCACAGTTTATGTTAAGTTTCTTCCCCCATCCACCACTCCCCTTTTCCCTGAGAATTGACAGTCCACTCTCCTCCCATATCTCTGATTCTATTATAATCAACAGTTAATATTGTTCATCAGGTTTTTTAATTTCCTTGTTTTTTAAAAAATTAATAAACTTTTATATTTTTAAATATATATTTTATTGATTTTTAACAGAAAGGAAAGGAGACGGATAGAGAGTTAGAAACATCGATGAGAGAGAATCACCGATCAGACGCCTCTTGCACACCTCCCACTGGAGATGTGCCTGCAACCCAGGTACATGCCCTTGACTGGAACCAAATCCGGGACCTTTCAGTCCGAAGACTGACTGCTCTATCCACTGAGCCAAACCGGTTTCAGCAACTTTTATATTTTTAAGAATAAATTTTAAAATCTAATAATTTTAAACCTTGTTTTTTCTGCCCAGGGAACTGAGAAGCAAACTTGTGGACATGTAAACTTGCCCTTAGGCTATCCAAAGTCGTAACCATTCAAATGTAAATGAACACATTGTTTAAAGATAGCTGCTGGATGGAATTGGATTACCTGTTCTGGGTGGGAAGGGCTTGTCCTCCCCTTTCTCCATTAAAATTAAAAAAACATTAAAAAATATGTATTTTACTGTAATCATGTTTTTTATATAAAGTCTGTGTCCTGGGGCATCAGTGGTGGCCACATAATCCTTGCAGGTCTCGAATTTCCAACCAGGAGGCATCAATGGTGATACCAAGCTCATGATCAACTTTCAGTTTATCCAAGACACAGGCATACTTGAAGGAGCTCTTCCTATCTCATTTTTCGATGGTTCTCCTATGAATCTGACCACATTTGTAGGTCAGGTGCCCAGCAGTGGTGGGCTCCCCTGAATAGATGGGTCCAATAGTGACGATGTTGATATGAATCTGCCTTTCCCATTTTGCTTTTGATTTAGTGGCGGTTTTCGCGACACACCTGTGTTCTGGAAGCAAACCTATTGGGAAAAAAGAGGTGACGAATTTCAACTATTTATTACCAATTATTCTGGCTCCAATTACAATGTGTTCCCTACACCTCCGCTGGCCTCTCCCCAACCCCCCACCCACATTCAAGCTATTACCAGACACCAGCAGCTGGGCGTCCTACAATCTAACTCACATGTGACAAACACAAGGCCCGGGGGCCAAATCCGTCCAGCCAGGCCTTGCAATGTGGCCCACACCGCACTGTCATCACTGCACTCCGCTGCGTTTCCATCACAATGACAGTTTATGACTGTTCAGTAAACCATTCGGCCCGCGATTTAGGCTGGATTTTAGATTTTGGCCCCTTCTCTGATTGAGTTCGACACCCCTAAATTCTAACTCAAGTCTGGCACCATCTACCAGGAGTGCTAAACGAATGTCCTCGGTTAAAGCGTTTTGTTCATGCCATCTTTCACTAAGTAATTCCATTTAAAATTCTTTTTTAAAAATATATATTTTATTGATTTTTTTATAGAGCGGAAGAGAGAAGGATAGAGAGTTAGAAACATTGACCAGCTGCCTCTTGCACACTCCCTACTGGGGATGTGCCTGCAACCAAGGTACATGCCCTTGACTGGAATCCAACCTGGGACCCTTGAGTCTACAGGCCGACGCTCTATCCACTGAGCCAAACCGGCCAGGGCTTAAAATTCTTTATTCAAAAAAAGAAAAGAAAAAGAGAACAAAAGAAACTTTATTGGGCATCTGCTCTGGGCCCTGAATTTAAGAGAGCCGCCGGTTGGATCGCAAGTGGGCGGGAGGGGGCGGACCTTCGTGGGTTGCCCCGCCTACTACAGCGAGGTCCAATCGGGTCCGCGGAGGCCCGGAAGCGGCCTTGGGGCGGCAGCGTGTACTTCCGGTTGGGCCGGTGGAGCCGCTGCCCGGGGAGGTGTGGATGCGGCTGCTGTCCTAGCGCCCGAGGAACATGTTCTACCACGTGAGCGGGCACCGGGCGGCGGCGAGGGCAGGCCCCGGGCAGCGCGGGGCGGGGCGCCCGGCCAGCGGCCGCTCCTCGGCCCGCCTGCCCGCTGAGCCCTGCCTGGTCTCCATCCCCTCTCCCCGCAGATCTCCTTGGAGCACGAGATCCTGCTGCACCCGCGCTACTTCGGCCCCAACCTGCTCAACACGGTGAAGCAGAAGCTCTTCACCGAGGTGGAGGGGACCTGTACCGGCAAGTGAGTGCCGTGCTCCCCGGGCCGCGTGCAGCCCGGTCCCCTGCGCCTCCTGCAGGGTCCTGCCCCCTGCTGTGGGGAGCCCTTGTAGGCGCCTAGGCAATCAGTGGCTTCCTGCCTCGGGTGCCCAGGGCGCCTTCTGCAAAGCTGGATCACAAGATTTCCCCCCTCAGCGGAGGCTGGCCATGCATCCCCTCCGCCAGCATTTCCAAAGCCCCCTTGGGTACCAGGTCCTGTTGGTCGCTGGGAACAAGGACCTCAGAGTTAGAGGGAGGCCAGCCCTGATGGAGCTCACACTCTCATCACCTCCCTCCGCCTGTGATTCTGCTGGTTCCCCTGCCCCCCATGCCCAGGGACCTGACACGGCACATCTCTGGGCTGTGTACAGAGAGGACTCGCACATGTGTGCGTGAGCTGGGAGGAGCCTAGCACCGAGGAGTACTTGGCCTCCATCATTAAAATAACCAGGCCATTTTTTGAACACTCAGGTTCCCGAGCCTCACCCTATCGCTACATACTCAATTCTCAGGACGGGGCTGGCACTCTGCATTTTAATTGGCTCCTCCCAGCGATTCCGAGGGTCTCTTGGCTCAAGCACTGCAGTCTCCCTCCTGGGACATGTTTTGTGAAGCTATGAGAGCAATGTTTGGCGTTACAGATACTGACCCGTGTCCTGTCGTTCTTGGCCACTAAGCTCTGGGACAGGGGTGCCGTCTACTGCCCTTTGTGCTGTCTCTGATTCTTGTTGCAGGTGGTTTTGGAGGCTCTTCCACATAATGTGCCTCTCTCTCTGCAGGTATGGCTTTGTCATTGCCGTCACCACCATCGACAATATTGGCGCGGGTGTGATCCAGCCCGGCAGGGGCTTCGTCCTGTATCCGGTTAAGTACAAGGCCATTGTTTTCCGGCCCTTTAAAGGGGAAGTCGTGGATGCTGTTGTCACTCAGGTCAACAAGGTGAGACGGCACTCGGGGAGGAAGTGGGTGGTCCCTCAGAAGCTGTAGGGTGGGTCCCAACTCCACTTGCTAACCGTGCATCCTTGGCCACAACACTTGTTTGTGCTTCCGTTTTCTCACCTGTCAAATGGTCCTGCCTCAGGTGCATGTCAGTCCGTGTTAATAGACATGATGGTAGTAGCATCCACTGGTGGAGGAGCTACTGTGAGCCAGGTGATGTGGAAAGCCTCCCAGTGACTGACAGGTGGTGCTTTGATCCCTTTTTATAGAAGCTTAGGCCGAGAGAAACTAAGTCTGGTGGCCAAGGTCATGTGACCAACAAGTGTTGAAGTCCCAGGCCGCAGCTCTCACTACTACACTGTATTTGCTTACCTTACAACGAACGCTTGAAAAAAGAGAAATGAAACCGTTACAGTTTGGTGTGGTTTCAATACGTGGAGAGTTTATTAGGAGTCAGAGAAAGGCGAGACGCTGAGAAGACTTGGGCACAAAAGTAAAAGCAAGGGCCACTCCTTTTGCTTCCAGGTTGGACTCTTCACAGAAATTGGACCCATGTCCTGCTTCATCTCCCGCCATGTGAGTGTGGGCACGCTGGGCGGGGCTGAGGAGAGGCCCCCATCCGGGACCATCTCCTGCAGCATCCACTCAAAGTGCTCAGCCAGTCTCACTTTCCTTCCAGTCCATCCCGTCCGAGATGGAGTTTGATCCTAACTCCAACCCACCCTGCTACAAGACAATGGATGAGGTGAGTGGGTAGTGAGAAGTCAGAGACAGGAGGGCGTGAGCCGCTCTGAGGGAGAGGATTGGCTGGGGTTTGCGGGGTGGAGGTAGGGGGAGGGTGGGGAGTCTGAGTGTTCTGTTCCCTCCTCCCAGGACATTGTGATCCAGCAGGACGATGAGATCCGCTTGAAGATCGTGGGGACCCGTGTGGATAAGAACGACATTGTGAGTGTTTGTCTGCCTCCCTTCCCTTGCCAGGCAGAGCCGGGAGCTATTGGCCTCTCCCCACCGAGACTTCCCGGGGGTCTGTGCTCTTCTGCCCGAAGCGGGGAGGGGTGGGCAGAAGGCCTGGGGTTGGGGCTTAGAGGATAGGTCAGTGCTCGCTTAGGCCTCATTTCCTTTTTTACCTTCCCTCCTGCAGTTCGCTATCGGCTCTTTGATGGACGATTACTTGGGTGAGTGTCCAATCATGCCTGCCGGGTTGCTGCCCGGGGAAGGGGTGTGTGGGGACAGGGGTGGAGGTGGGATTTGATGCTTGAGGCACAGATGGAGGGAACTGCCTTGCTGTCTGCTTGGAAGATCCAGGACGTGTGCCCTTGGGATGGGAAGTGCAGGTTCCGCTGCCCCAGGCTCTGGTCTAACCAACAGCTTTTCCTCTTCTAGGGCTTGTGAGCTGAACACCGCGGGTGCCTCCTTTCTTGTTTGACTCTTATCTAGGGAGTGCGATGGTCACACCTCTCATGTTGTCGAGAGGCCCAGTCTGGCTGCTGTGGGAGAGGCAAGGAAGGCTCCTTGTTCCGGAAGACATCCAACTCCTCTTCCGGCTTAGCAGCCACTCCCAGATCCTGACTGTGTTCTGACCCTGATGCCCTTTGGTTCTGTGGAACTGTTACCCTTTGGTAAAAGCGCTTCTTTTTAAACTGTAGTTGATGCTTGCCCCTCATTTCTTGGCCTGATGCTTCAACTAGCCTCCACCAGAGGGGGATCTGACCAGTAACCCTTTCGCCAAAGTCTACAGCAGCCCTCATTGAGGGAAAGGTGTTAAGGTTTCGTCTTTGGCTTCCAGCAAATGATATTGTTAGAGCCACTCTGCATACCAGTCTGGTTTCCTCATACTTTCCCTTCCCTCACCCTAAAAATGACTAAGAGCGTAGCTGGGAGAGCAGACAACAAGGGAGGTGAACAAGAGGACCGTAAGGACACAGACTGTGGGGTCCCCGCACAGCTCTGCCTAGGATGCGTACAGAGGCCTTTGTGTGCTGAGCAATCGCTGTACTAACCTGAACTGATGAAGTGACTGCAGGACTAAACACGTCCTCCTCTCCCTCTCTCTGCCATACTATTGGTCCATCTGGAGTGCCCTTCCCCAGCCTGGCTGCTCCCTGCCCACTCCTCTAGCAAATCCGGGTAGTTCTTCCTGACTCCCGCGGGAAGCAGAGCTGTGCAGCAGGAAGCTTGGGGTTGGAGTTGCTGCAGTCCTGCTCGCAGCCCTGCTCGTGACTAGGTTTCCTCACTGAGAAATGGGCATTCCACCCTCTTTGTTTGGCTGCAGCTGCAGGTCCTGCAATAATGTTTCTTCCAACATTGTTTTGTTCAACGTTTCTTCTTTTTTTCATTCAACGTTTCTTTATAACATTGGTAAGATTTCTTACCAACTTTTAAAAAAATATATATTAACATTTTTTTAAAATAGATTTTTATTGATTTCAAAGTGGAAAGGAGAGGGAGAGAGAAATGTCAATGATGACAGAATCATTGATCAGCTGTCTCCTGCATGCCCTCTACTGGGCATCGAGCCTGCAGCCCGGGCATGTGCCCTGACCAAGAATAGAACTGACCTGGTTCACAGATCCACACTCAGCCACTAAGCCACACCTGCTGGGCTGCAACTTACCTCTTGCTTGTGTTAATTAGTCTCATAAACTTAGTTTCTTTTTTTTTAAGAGTTTTTTTGCTTTTTGTGTGTTTTTTTAAAAATATATTTTATTGATTTTTTTTACAGAGAGGAAGAGAGTTAGAAACATCGATGAGAGAGAAATCGATCAGCTGCCTCTTGCACACCCCCTATCGGGGATGTGCCCGCAACCAACATACATGCCCTTGACCGGAATCGAACCTGGGACCTTTCAGTCCGCAGATCGACGCTCTACCGCTGAGCCAAATCGGTTTCGGCATAAACTTGGTTTCTTTATATGTCATTTTTTATTTTTTAATATATTTTTTTTATTGATTTTTTTTTTTTTTGCCCCCTTACCTCCCTCCCACACATCCCCTCCCTCCCCAGAGTTTTGTGTCCATTGGTTGTACTTATATGCATGTATAAAAGTCCTTCGGTTGATCTATTATCTCCCCCAGATCTTCCTCCCCTCCCCGCTGTAATTTGACAGTCTACTTGTTGATATACTGTCTCTATATCTATCTCATTTTTTATTTTTTAAAAAATATATTATTGATTTTTCACAGAGAGGAAGGGAGATAGTTAGAAACATCGATGAAAGAGAGTCATCGGTCAGCTGCCTCTTGCATGCCCCCTACTGGGGATGTGCCCTCAACCAAGGTACATGCCCCTGACCGCAATTGAACCCAGGACCTTTCAGTCCGCAGACTGACGCTCCATCCACTGAGCCAAACTGGTTTCTGCTTTTTATATGTCATTTAAAAAAAATTTATTACTTTATTTTATTTTTTCCTTATCCTCCCATTACATCCCCCCCCCCCCAGTCATGCCCTCACCCCCCTGTTGTCTATGTCCATTGGTTAGGCTTATATGCATGCATACAAATCCTTTGATCTCTCCCGTTCTTATATGTCATTCTGTTTAAAGTTGCAGAACTTAGCAGCAGCATCCAGTGGGGAATTACTGTGTATGCAAGTGGCTGGCAGAGAGCCTGGCCCACGAGAGGCATTCAGCTTAATTGTAATTACTACTCGATGCAGTGGCCGTCGCCTGAGGTGACTTTGGCTCCCAGGGGATATCTGGCAATGGACATTTTTGGATGTTGCAAGTGGGTGGGGGCGTTCCTGCCTTCTAGTATATAGAGGCCAGGGATGAGGCTAAACACCCCACAGGCTAAATAGTACAGCCCCCCCAACAGTTAGCCTCAAACATCTGAGTGACGAGGTCTAGAAACCCCTATCAGAAGCATCCAGAATAAGGCCTGGAACACGGTGAGAATGTGGTTCTGTTCCCCTTGCCTTCCCGACTCCGGGACTGCTAGATGGGGTTCCATTCAGGCCTCTGAGGGGGTCAGAAACATTATTTTGCTATTGTCTCCCTCTTCATTTTTTAAATGAGTAAAATTTCAGTTATTTCATTGAGGTAATTTAGATTCACGTGGATGCCTGTCTTCTGTATCTCCAGCCCTCGGCACTGCGCCTGCTTTTCCCAGTTTGTTAAACCAGGAAGGTTGCTGTGCCCGGTCTGTGGCCCCGCTTCCTACAGTTATTGCCTTGCCTGGCCTTGGTCCCCACTAGGCTGGGGGCAAGTGAGTTCCAGATAGCTTGGATGGTTTCCCAACATCCCACAGGTCCCGGGCCTTCCTCTTTTGATCGTCTCATGCCTCCAAGGTTCCCAATGACTGCCCAGTCCAGCGTCTTAGCAAGATCTGCCAGTGGCCCAGATTCTGCTGAACTGATCTCAGACTCAGGACCTGTCCTTCCCTTCACGCACAGGTGGACAGACACTCCAGTGTCCAAGCGCAATACTGAAACTTCCCACTGCAGATGCCATCCTGAATGTGGCTAGAGGAAACTGCGGGTTTGCAGTCTCCTTAGGCGGTGTTGCTTAGCAGCACCTCTCCCATCCTCCTGGCTCTCCCAGCTGGAGTCTCAGAGGATCTTTTCTAGAGGCAGCAGCTCCTATACCGAGAGGGAGGAAAAGTTGAGGCTGTTACATCCATGCTCGCTCCCCTGCAGAAAGCTCCATTCTCTAATCGCTCATGCAAACTGCCCCTTCTTGAATAAACAAAGGAATGGATTTACTGTCTGCCTCATGATGTGTGAGTGAAAGAAAGTTCAACCATCGGCCGAAACCGGTTTGGCTCAGTGGTAGAGCGTCGGTCTGCGGACTGAAGGGTCCCAGGTTCGATTCCGGTCAAGGGCATGTACTTTGGTTGCGGGCACGTTCACGTTCCCGGTGGGGGGTGTGCAGGAGGCAGCTGGTCGATGTTTCTCTCTCATCGACGTTTCTAGCTCTCTATTCCTCTCTCTGCCTCTCTGTAAAAAAATCAATAAAATATATTTAAAAAAAGAAAGAAAGTTCAGCCATCAACTCTGCAATGTGCTTTCACAAACATCTCAACCTACAGTAACATTTTGTAGATGGGGAAATGTGACGAGGCAATTCGCCCAAAAGCAGTGTTCGAATTTGAATCCAGTTTGGTCTGACTCCAAATACCATCTTTTAGTCAATAAGCCCACTTGTTTAGCAATTGAGAATTGCCCAACTTGGAGGAAATGTGTGCGTGTAACCGGTCAAGGAAGTCTGCGAGGTAGGTGAGGGTTTGTATTTGGCGGGAACGGGGAGGATACGAGGTAGGGTGCCCAGATGAGCAGAGCGCTGGGGTTTGCAGCTTGCACGTGGGTTTGGCCCAGTCAGAAGACCTTTCTGGCCGCAAAGAGGACCTACCCGGGAGCCTCATCCATTCTTTTGGCAAGGGTAACGGCAGGTGACATTGGAGAGGGGAGCTGAGCTGCACTAAGGAGGTGGAGAAAACGAAGCCAGTCTAAAGCTTTGCTGCAGTCGCATCAATGCAAGTGCTCGGGAACTCAGGAGCAGACAAGGCCAAGGGCCTGGGGACACATTTCTAGAAAGCATGGCCATTAAAAAGTACACCAATCCACATCGAAACCGCAACCTCCCAAGAGCTATCGCTTTAAGAAGCGCGAGTCTTTAACGTCACGTGGCCTTGGCGCCTGGGGATTTCACAGGCGCTTCCAAATGGCCAATCGCGTGGCTGGAAGCCTCCTGGGGGGCGGGAACTTCGCCAGGTGCTCGCGGATTGGCTGTGCTCGCGGAGTGCGGGCCCAGCGCTGAGGGAATCAGTGTGGGCGGGGTGAGCAGGGCCGCCGCCGCTGCCGCCGCCGCCGCCGCGGGCTCGGGAGCCACCTTCGTCGGCCGGAGCCTCAGGTGAGCAAACCCTGGCAGACCCCAGGTCTCCCCGCAGTGCTGCGCGGCGCGCACTCGGACCCGCCTAGAGCCCCCTCCGCCGGGGGCCCCGCCCCCTTCGCCGACCTCGTGACCAGAGTTCCGTAACCCTTGACCTCCTGCACCGCACCCCGCCACCTCTGGCCCTGGGATGCGTGCAGCTGGGTGGGAAGATGCGCAGCGCGGAGGCCGGTAGCGGTTAGTTCCCACGGCTCCCTCCCCGTCTGGCTAGAGGCTGCGGATGCCGAGGGGAGGCTGGGGAGCGGGACATCTTGGTCTGAGACCTGACTTTGCGGGTCTGAATGGGGGCGCATACTAGGGACTCTCCCTCCGCGCCTTCGCGGGGCTGAACCTCATCGTGCTCCCATTTCACAGATGGGGAAACAAACCTGACAGTCATCTGTCGGCGGGGCTCCAACGCCAGGGCTGAGCGCTGGGAACAAACCCTTGTTCCTAGCCCTGAGGACTCGGAACAAGGGTGTGGGTCCCTGTTCCCTCCTGGGTGCTCGCTGGCTGCTCTTGGACGAGTCATGTGTCAGTTTACCTCTTTGAGCGGTGACTTCCTCGGCTGCGGAATAGACACAATACTTAACAGAACTCAGGAAGTGGAGGTATAGGCCTGTAAGCACTTAGCTCAGTGCCTCAGGCATAGCATGTGCTCAGAAGAATAGCCGTTCTCCGTCTTTTTCAGCAGCTGTTTACTGAGGGCGGATGATGCGCTGACACTGCCGGACGCTGGGGATGCAAAGGTGAGCGACCGGGCCGGATCCG